TCCAGCTGCCTTGTCCTGCAGGAGGGGGTTGGGGGTGGGGGTGAGCCGGCCGCCCTCGCCTGGCCAAGGCCCCCAGGGGTCCCAGGGGTGCCCGGCTCACTCACCGCAGCTCCTCAATCTCCCGGATGTAGGTCTGGATCAGAGCACCGATAGCCTCGTTGCCGTCACCTGGGGGAAGAAGTAACAAAAGCACCTTCAATCCCGGCTGGTGTGGTTCAGTGGTGAGCGTCAGCCTATGAACCAGGAGGTCAGGGTTCGATTCCCGGTCAGGGCACACGCCCGGGTTGCGGGCTCGATCCCCAGTGCGGGGCCTGCAGGAGGCAGCCGATCCATGCTTCTCTCTCATCACTGACATTTCTCTCTCTGTCTCTCTCTTCCTGTCTGAAATCAATAAAAATATATATTTTTAAAAAAAGTTAAAATCGATTGGAAAAAGATGCATGAATGAACTGATCTGTGAGCTCCTGGGCTGGAGGGAGCCCAAGCCCCGGTGCGCCCAGCCGGCCCGGGCACCCACTCACCGGCCTTGGCCAGCAGCAGGTTGGCCTCCTGGCTCATGAGGTGGGTGACGCGGCTGTTGATGGCGTCGATGGCCTCCTGCATGGCCTTCACCCGCAGGCGCAGGGCGCCGTTCTCCTTCTGCAGCATGGCGTTCTCCCGGAACAGGTCGCTGTAGCCCTCGCTGCCGTCCTCCCCGATCACCCTCTTGCCCTGGGAGGGGGACGGGCGGGGGGACGGGGGGAGTCAGGTGCCAGAGCCCCAGGGAGCGGGGGCCCAGGGTCCCTAGAACACAGCTCCTGTCTCCCATGCTCAGAAGCCATACACGGTTCCCATAGCGACAGAAAAGCCCAAAGTCTGTGACCGGCCATTCCAGGCTTCCCCTCAAGGTCACCTCGACCTTCCCTTCCACAGCCCACCTTCCTGTCTCCACAGACTCTGACCCAAGGGTCCAACCCGAGGGGACCTGGGCAGCTGGCGTGAGTGAGGAGGTCCATCTGGGTGTTAGACAATAGGGAGTGGTGGGGATTGGGGCCAACAGAGTCCTTGTAGCCAACGTGGTGCCCTGCGTTGTGACATCTTCAAATATGTCAACCAAAACCCACTTGAGTGCCGGATCCAGGCCCTGGACCACTAACCGGTGACTTCCGCCTTAGTCACAGGGAACAGGGTACGTCCCCCAGGACACATGTTCACATCCTACAATGCCTGCTCCACTTGCTTCTGCCGATAGCTCACTCGTGCTTCAAACTCCATGGAAAAGGACTCCTCCTCCATGAAGCCCTCCCTGACCACCTGAGGAAGTAGGGCCAACTCTCTCCTCTGCCTCCCCTGACCCCACCCCACACACTGGGCGACTCCTGCGGTCCTACCCACTGTCCTGATTCTCATTCTGAGCCTAGGAGTCTCAGCCGGTCAGCACAGCGGACGTGCGGTCCTACCCACTGTCCTGATTCTAATTCTGAGCCTAGGAGTCTCAGCCGGTCAGCACAGCGGACGTGAGTCTGTGCGTCATGAGATCCGCGCCACGCAGGCCGGGCGCGCGCTCACCGCCTTGTACTCCATGAGCTCCATCTGCAGCCTCGCGATCTCAGCCCGCAGTGCGCTGATCTGCTGGCTGGTCTTGTCCTGGTTCACCACCACCTTGTTCTTGATGTTCCGGGCCCGGTTGGCGTATTTGAGGGTGTTGAGCGTCTCCATGAAGTCCCGGTCCGAGGGGCTCACACAGGCGATCATGATGGTCTGGCTGGGGGTGCAGGAAGGGGAGGTGAGGGTCCCAGGGCGCAGCCGGCTCCTCAGAAGCACATCTCAGAGCAGAGCTCCCGCCCCCCCACACCCTCCTCCCCATTGCCTGAGGACTGGGCTTCACAGGGCAGAACATGGGTGATGGGGACGCGGACCCCCCACAGAGTAGGTGGCGGGCAGACTGTGAAGGGCCAGCACCAGAGAGATGGCCCTGTATCTCTTTACCATTTTCCATCTATTACCCCAGCTGGGCTCTATCACCTTTTTATTTTTTAAAAATGGGTCTTTATTGATTTCAGAGAGGAAGGGAGAGGGAGAGATAGAAACATCCACGATGAGAGAGAATCATGGATCAGCTGCCTCCTGCACGCCCCACACTGGGGATCCAGCCCCCAACCCGGGCATGTGCCCAGACCGGGAATCGAACCCTGACCTCCTGGTTCACAGGTCGATGCTCAGCCACTGAGCCACACCAGCCGGGCTGTCACTTCCTTTAGGAACTCTCCCTCCCTGGGTGCAGAAGAGTCCCACCCTACTGGCCCGAGGTCAGGGGGCACCTCAGCCCAGAGCAGGGGATCTCCTTGCCCCCAGGGGCCTTCACCCTCAAACCCTCCCACCCTGTCCCCCAGGAAGTCCCGCCTCCCCGCCCGGGAC